AATTTTTATTTTTATTTGTACTGGTACAAATAGTAGTAACTTTGTAAATCTCTATATTTAGTGGTTTAATAGTTAGCCCTGACTACAAGTAGAAGCCTCGGCAACTGCGCTATAGTAATTTATTTTGTTATTATTAAAAAATTATACTAATAATGATATGAGCAAGGCCTCATCTTAAAACCAAAAAAAAAAAAAAACCAATAAATATACAAATCATTCAAGAATCAAAAGTATTATTTGACTAGAAGGTTATATTAGTACAAACTGATATTATGGTTAAACAATTTTTTTTAGAAGTAGCAGAAGAACATATATCAAATTATCGTTTAGATTTGATCAAAAAGATTGAGGCTCATTGTGAACAATCAAAAACTACGGTTAATCAAAATATTGACCTTGCATACAATTTGTGGAAGGTTACAAAAAACATTTTGTTTTTCGATTACTTATATTACAAACAACCTCACCAAATTGCCAATATATCAATTCCTTTGAAATTATATTTAATACTCAAAATTCTATTATACTTCTAACATAGAAATCTAGCGCAAAACCAAATAAAAAAGAACAACTGCGAAGTGATTTAATAGTATGGATTAAAAAAGAAAATGGTAGTTGGATAGGACTAAATATGGCTAAGACAATTGGCAAACCATTCATCCAAGATTTAACTGATGTATTTTGGTACATAGATGGATGTAATAGTGATACGTTCACACAACAATACAACTTACCAAAAGTTTTTAAAAACTTCATAGGTTACAACAATCTATAACATTACAAATACACCTGATCTAGATTTAACATTGAAGAGCTTAACGAACATAGTGAATATCTTTTCAAATATGCTACATACCCATGGATAACAAGATTACCATTTTCAACATTTCTCAAAAAACTAATAATAAAGCTTGGTAAAGACCTTTCTAAATATGCAGAATATCTTGTTTACAAATATACATTAATATCACAAAACCAAAAACTTAATTAACCTGTAATTAATGAATACAATAATAGCCAACTAAAAATATTCAAAGCTAATAAAAAATATAAATTAAAGAATGCTTTAAAATATAGAAATCTTTTATCAGCTTTACAAGAAAAACAATACTAGCAGCCAATTTTGGCTGATGATTTCTGCTCTTCAATATTGCGAGTATAAGTATTTACTAAAAAAATAAAATAAAATAAAAAATAAAAAGTAAAAAAATAAAAAAAAAAGCAAAATAAAAAATAAAAAAAACTTTATACTATATTAATATACAGACAAAAGCATTAGTATTTAGCAAGCTTAGAAGTTGGATTCATATTTAAAGTCAGAATCTATACTTATCATCATAGAAATATTTGTAATACAACATATATTTGGTATATAGATGAGGAAGCGAAGGAAGAAGAAGTGTCTAATCAACATTATAAAATCAAACCAGAAATAAAAAAATGGTTTCCTATTTATCATACACGTCGTATATATAAAGAATACATAGATATGTGTGACCTTTATCTAAACAAACAACTGAAGACCAAATTGCGATACATATATAAAGAATTAACAAATGATGCTTTAGCCGCTAAAATGACTAGTCAAAAAAAAGTTAATGAGCATATCAAATTGGCCTTTGAACTAAATGATCCTAAAATCATTAGTGATTTGAAAAAACTTAATGAAGGTCAGCCACGTAAATATGATGAATTTTGGGCTACAGGCAAAAAAATTTTGGAAAGTACTGTGCAAGAAGCAGTAGTTGCTGTAGATGAAAGAAGATACAACCCAATTATGCATCTCGCACAAGCTATTTCAGTATATGATCTTTGTAATATTATAATAAAGGAAATAAAAAAAATTAACCCACAAGCACCAATTCCATCAACCCAATAGCTTCGTCTACAATTTTGGCCAACTATACCGACAAATAAAAATAGTTTACAGTTTACCAGCATTTTGTTTGTTAAATTTATGATCTAGACTCATTAACTTTGGTGTAAATACGTTGATTTACATTATGCATCAGCGTTATTTGATATTTAAAAAAAATAGCAATCATGTTTCGGAATGAGGCCCACCTTGTTTTTATAGATGATAAATATCGCTGTAAAGTTGGTGAACCAGATTATCCAGTTGCAGCTATAGACTGTAAAAAGAGAGTACTTGTTAATCATGATACAATATTTGTTGTTAGTGACCATAATTTTATAAAATGTGGAATTATTCCAAGCATTACAATGTTATGCAACATACCTAAAACAATTGAAGAATCTTTTTATACTGAGAAAGTTCATGTTGGGCTAAAAGAATATATATTCAAGGCATCAAGTCTAATGCGATACATCACAGAATTGTATAATATTTTAAAAAACCAAGATGATGACAAGCCTTATCTGTTTATTTACACTAATAGTAGGCTGAACTATCGAGTAAATTTTCTTCAGATACAATTTGCATTAATTGCAATTTTTTTGACTTTGGATTTGGATTTGTTAGTTGCCTCTAAAACACTTATAGAAGAACCTAATCGAATACATTATGTCTATTTTAAACCTTGGTCTGCAGTGTGTTGGCTTTATGAGAAGTGAAATAGATGAAGAGCTTGAAAGTTTGGTGAAAAGCTGCAATACAATAGATGAAATTCGTAATAAAGCTAAAACAGTATCTTAACTTAAGAAAGGAATAATTGAAAGCTTACAATCTACTAAAACCATTATGCAAGATATTTTTGAACGATTAGAGCTCAAAGAAGAAAATTTTTTTATATTTGAATCAGCAACAGATCAAGAGATTGAACACTTGTGAGAGTTAGTACTTGAATTGAATGATTTATTGGCATCTGAAGATATGTCTCAAAAGCATATTGAAAATAAGGTCAGTTTTGATTTGTAAAAAAAAATTTAATATTATTGTAAACTTATTCATAAGTGCACATATTTAGTCACGCATTCTTAAATTCATGAACTATTGTTGCCGGTCAAGAGCTTATTTTTTTGAAATTAGAAAATGTCAAGTAGCTAAAACTGGTTGTACGATTTGCAGACTGCCACAGAGTAAACCTGATGTATTTGTAAAATTGCAACCCTTTTCAGATCTTATTCCTAAAGCAAATAAAAATTACTATATACTATTTTGTGAAATATATGGTAAGAACACTAGCAAAAAATACTGCTTATCTTTACTTCAAAAAGGCAATGTACCTATATTAACTATGATTAATGGTCTTGGTACCGATAGCATGGGTTTTAGCTTCAGGCACAATACGCAGCAAATGTGCATGTTTTGGTAAAGTATATTAAATGCAACAGACCATGAGTACTCTATTCACAATACTGTTTAAAGCCAGAAGAAGAAAATCTTCTCAAAAACTTTATAAAAACAATTGATTATATATATGGTACAATGTTCTATGGAATTTCAGATCTCACAAAAGTTAGTTTACCATTAGTTTTTAAATAATAATAATTAGACAATAGATATTGGTGATAATGACAATAATCAAACAATAGATATTAATAATAATAATAATAATCTAACAATA